TTTCTACCGCAGCCTGGGGCCCCCCCCCCCCCCCCCCCGTTTCCATCTACAAACTTTTTTGTTTGTTTGGTTTATTATAAATGTGTTGAAATTCACAAAAAAAACACTTTAGTTAAACTGTTGCATTCAAGTTTGCAAGAAAAAAATGACAACCATTCTTTAAAGGAGTGTTTGGAGTCAAACTATAGATTTTTTAATTTTTTTTTTAATGAATGTGCTTTCATCTACTGTTTCGTTAAAATGTATGATAAAGTGAAGGTATCAAAATGAAACTGAGACACTCACCTGAGGATCTGAAGTTCCTCCTTTGAGTTCTGCAGCTCATCAGAAAGTCTTCTCCACCTCAGCAGTGCCTTTAGGTCAAATTGCTCTGTTCTCTCCTGTAAAGACAGCTGCAGGGAAGCAAAAAAGATAACGCATAAGATGCTGGAAAGAAGCCAAACAAACAAAAAGCAAATGAATGATATAAATTTCATCAGCAAATACAGTAAATATCTGTCAAATAAATACCACTGAATCTGTCCTACTGTAGATATGTGTCTGAATCAGTTCCTGATGGGGCCAAGCTTAAGCCCCAAAGGTTTAATGATTAAAAAGCAGAAAACAACAGAAAAATACCTGCGTAATTCTAGATGATGTGGGAACGCAACTAGGAGGATTAGGTTTACATGCACATCAACTCTTGGATTAAAGCAGTGTCGCAACCACACATACATACCTGCGCTACACCCTCTTCTTTTGTCACTTTATCGTGTTTTTATTCTGTCTAATATATACTCATAGCTCAAGACGAAGACAAACATGTCAATCAGTATTGTATGTCAAGCTTTTCTCTTTCTCTTTTACTCGTTTACAATTTTTACAACTGTGTAGATTTTATGTTAGCAGATTTATTTGGGGTCTATTAACCCCATTTGTGGTTGATAGAGGAAATTCCTTTCATGTTGCTCGGCCAGCTCTACTAATTTTCAGACAGTTTTGGTTCTTGTCCATTCTTTTTATTTATTTATTTATTTATTTTTTAAATAAACTCTCTCACTCTGAACTTGACGTGTGGATTTACTGCAGCATTGTCGCTGGCAGCTATGAACTAGATGCATTCCAAACCAAAATTTGAAAACCCAGGAGCAGTTGTAGAAGCAGGGAGAACAATCCCCATTTCCAGAAATGTCAGAAAGTTTGTGAAAATTCTACAGGCACCCAAATCTGTAATTTCTTAAATTATATATAGCACAACATTAGATTTTTAGTGTTTTGGCAGAACAACTTTAAAAGATTAAGAACATATAAACTCATGTTACATGTGGTGCAGGTACTGTATTTTTCGGACTATAAGGCACACTTAAAATCCTTTAATTTTCACAAAAATCAACAGTGAGCCTTATGTATTAATTCTGGTTGTGCTTACTGACCTTGAACTGATTTTATGTGGTTATTGTGAATGAGCTGAATAAAGTTTGAATTAGCTGACTGTTCTGTTTCGCTTAATGCGCCTTATAATCCGGTGCGCTTTATGTATGAAAACAGACCTGTTCATTGATATTGTGCCTTATAATCCGAAAAATACAGTAACTTGCTCAAAATAAAAAAGCAATGAAAGAGAAACATGTTTATCACTGGGCTGCACCATTCTTCACATTTTTTCGTTTTTTGTTGTTGTTGTTATTTAGAAGCTACAAATACTATTTATTGTAATTTTTTTGAATGGACATTTGTTCTTTTTACTAACGCAACATTTTAGCTGCTCAACTTTCTGTCATCATTGTTGTCTGAGACTCCCAGCAGGTAGAGTAGTGAAGAACAAGTTCTTGTTTTTCTAAGTCATGCAGAATGAAGTCTGGCATTATCCAGCTGAAACAACTATGGTCCTTCCCGGAAAAGACACAAACTTGATTAAAGTGTATGTGTATTCAAAGTTTCGGTGCACGCCTATGCAACAGTACATGCAACACTCACCCAATTTATTGGAAGTGATGCACTGTTGTAACATCACAGACCTGTCTTTTCCACTAATGACAAGCTAATCTTTCTTCTCTTTGGCATGCATGAACCCAACTGTCCACCCTAAAGCTGAAACCTAGCCTCATCTGACCACAAAAGACAAGCCCACTCACATGCTGTCCTTGAGAAATAAGGTTTTTGGAAAACTAAACCATGGCTACACAGATAATATATGGAGTCCTGCTTGTGTAATACACAAGATGGGCTGTATTGGTTAACAAAAGTTTTGTGAGCTTCTTCCAAACCTATGGGACCTCAAAGTATGCAATGGCTGGTTCTTTATCCAGCAGCACTGCGTCTTAAAGGTCTCAAACACTAAACAGTGCTGTCTAATTTAGACCTTTTTTAGCATAACTTTTTCCAAAAATTCTGGATTACTTTAACTTATTGTGCACTGTAGGTGACAAAAATAAACTACCCATTTTGCAGTTTAGCATCAATAAATGTATTTTTTGAATTGATCAATGATCTTCTAATAGCTTTTGGTACCAAGTGGTGAGACACATTAATCCTTGCACCAAAAGTCATTGATCTTCTTTACTGTCCCATCAAGATGACCTCACTTCTCATCGATAAATCTGTGGACTGTAGTTTTCCAAAATTATTAACATTTTTCAGACTTATTTAACTTATGTTTTAGACATTAAATAACACGCTTCATTAAATTTCCTAATATAAAGTAGTAGAACAGTAAAAACTCAGCAAATATCTTCTGCTTTAAAATGTCTGGTACATAAAGATCTAAATTAAATGACAGCTGACTAATTTAGGCTTTTTATGCCATTTAGAAATCCTATTTTTCGTCATGGGGTTTGGATTAAGTAATATGTAGAACTACTTTTAGATGCAACAAGAACAAATATTTTCTTCAAAGTTTACAGCGTTGTTTCTTATGAAAAGGCCTATCTAAAATGATAGTTTACATTTTATGGAATTTTCTGTAAAATATGTTAATATATAGCAGTATATATACATATATGTGTGTGTATTTTTGCAAGACAGGATAAAAAAAACATACCAAAAAGTTAGATAAACATAAATAAGAAGACCACCACGAGGGTGAGGAAAATGTACTTGTTGTGCTTGAGCCCATATAATGTCCTCCAGGCAGGTTGCAAAGCCCTCGCTGATCCATTCCTCAGTCCAGTCTCTGGCTCCAATCACAAGGCCAAACCAGGAGTGGGCAATCTCATGGCAAATCCTGGACCCACATAGAGACAGGCTTCCCACTCCAAAATCAGAATTTCCAGGGCACAAAACACTCTGGGACAGGAAGATTATATGGGGGCTATGGAGAGTAAATGACATAACATAAAGGATAAACTAAAGAAATAAAGCCAGTAAATTTATTCCACATTGGTGATAAGACATTTGGGAACTAAAAGAAGGAAATGGCAAAGGAAGGGTAAGAGAAAGATAAGTCAAAAGGAGCCAAACTAAATTACTTGTTATGGAAAAATACAGAGGAGTCCATAAAGAAGCTTTTTCAAGAAGTTGTTGAAGTCATTTCTTTAACCAAGACAAGATAAAATTAAGGCTTTTCATGTAAAACAAACCCATTTGTGTGTTATAACAAAAAAAGGAGTATTTAAAACATTCTGATATCACGATCCATAAAGTGCTTAAATGTGTTTATTTCCGGTTGTGTAAAACGACTTTTCAAAATGTTAAACAACCTAATTATCACTTGTAATGAATAAAAGGATTTTGAACAAAAGTCAGTCAATTAAAACTGAAGAGGCTATGCGAGTTTGCAAATGTGATTCAGTAAACAACTCAACAGTAATTTTCCTTTTACGTTCGTGATTTTAAAAAAAAATTAAATCTACAATTGGACTTTTTTTTTCAAAAACTTTTTTTATTCTCTGAAGAAAGTTCATTTTAGGTTTGACAGGAAAACTAGTTTCACTGGTAAATGCCTCCCTGCAGCAAAAACAACAGAGTAAAGCACAGCAACTCTACCCATTTATTGAATAATTAAAATAGCTTTGGTGGAAAATACTACATACATTTTTTACCTTAAAAAAACATTTCTCAAGATAAAGAAATAATGCATTTAGATATTCTGATGTAAAATTTTCTCTAATTAATTACATTTATACTGACACTTTGGCAGTGAACCATCTACAAAGATCCCACCACAAATGATTAGATAAATGGTTGAGCACATAAAGGTTTTTAAAAAAAATCATGTAAAATTAAGCAGTGATTTCTGCTTTGAAATGACAGAGGATGTGACCACTGAAAGGTTGAATGACAACTCTTGGTGTTCCAGATCTGAACCTAACATTTAACGGGTTCATCCAAAGCACATGCTCCACCTCGTCATGCTTCATGAAGCGTGTCGACAGATATTGTGTAATTTGGCTGAGATGCAGAGTCACTTATTAATTCAATTCAATTCAGTTTATTTATATAGCACCAAGTCACAACAGAAGTCATCTCAGGGCACTGAACAGAAACATTCATATATATAAAAAGTAAGTTAATAACATTATTTATCTGAGGAGCAGACTGCTTTGAGTTTAACTTCATCACAGACTCTCCTCTTGAACAAGCATGAAGGCGACAGTGTAAAGAAAAAAACTCCCTCATGAGGAAGAAACCTCCAGCAGAACCAGCTCAGGACAAGCGTCCATCTGCTTCAACCAGCTGGGTTTGAGAGGACAGGAAGGAGGAACGGATACACAATGGCAGGTTGAGAATCACATGTTCAGATAGAAATAATATCAAATGAAAACTATTCAATTGTAACAATTCATTTTAAGAAATTGGGTCAATTTGTCCTCCAGTAGTCTAAACCTATGACAGCATAATAAGCCAACCCTAACTATAGGATTTATCAAAAAGGAAAATCTTGAACCCAGTCTTAAAACTGGACAATGTGTCAGCCTCACGGACAGAAACTGGAAGTTGGTTCCACAAAAGAGGAGCATGATAAACAAAAGTTCTGTCTCCCATTCTGTTTTGGAAGCTCTAGGAACCACAAGTAAGCCTGCAGTCTGAGAGTGAAGTGCTCTATTAGGAAAATATGGAACAATAAGATCACAAATATAAGATGGAGCCAGGTTGTTGAGAGCTTTGTAGGTTTGTTATTTGTTTGTCATTTATTCATTTCATATTTAAAACACAAAAACAATTTAGAAACCAAATGAGAAAAAAAAAAAACACGTCATAAAATGAAAGGTAGCAGAAGAAGAAAAAATCTTATCATATCTGCCCCTTGTTTAAAACAAAATCAATTCAAACAATCAATTCAGGTTAGAGAAGTTGTTGAGAGCTTTGTAGGTTAGAGAAGTAGAATTCACTTCTGAATTTGACAGGGGAGAGAAGCTAAAACTGGAGAGATATGATCTCTCCTACTAACTCCAGTTAAGACTGACAGCTGCATTTTGGATTAACTGAAGACGTTTTAAAGTTTTTCCTTATAAATAAAGTTATGAAACTAATGCTGAAAACTGCAACTTTCCAGTTCTTTGCATAAACAAGCTGAAACTACACAACTCATGGTTGAGGATGATGTGAATGTCACAAGTTTAGAGACGGTTTAGTGACTGTAGGTAAAACTCTGACCCAGTTTTGACCTTGAATAAAAAAAATAATGGATCTAAGAGCTGAATACAGTTCAGCCTTTGGAAAACACAAATGTCTGGAACTGATTTAACGACAACCCATGAATTTGCTCAAATTTTTCACCTAAATGTCACTGAGTTTACTAAACAACGTGTAGAAATCACCAAAGTCTGGTTGCATCATTTGAAAAGTATTGCGACTGACTCGATAGCTGATCATGCATTCCAATCTAAACCAAGGTTATAAATTGACTGACTGAATACCCAAACTTGTGGCCTAAATCAATAATAAAAAGAGGATAGCCATTTTAAATATTTTGTAGGTTCAACATACAGTACACAACATTACAGTTTTAAACTGTGCTTGTGCTCTCAGTTTTTTGCTATAAGGTGTTGAAAGAGCAGGGCCAATCGCAAACCCCCATCAAAGTCAAGGTCATGACAAAAGACCTTTCCTGGAGTTTTCTTGTTTCTCTTTTCTTTAACAAGTTCTGAGTATCCTGAGGGGGTTAGGGCCACCTGTGTGTGAGAGGGAAGCCATTATTCAAAAAAGAATGAGAAAAGGGGTCACAAAGGTGCAAATGAATGGCCTTCTTTGCTCCTAATCCATATAAAACACCAGACTGTCTAGAGATCTTTTCACACCCTTTAGATCTTAAAAGTCCTATTGATACAACATCTCAGGGAGAATTTATGGCAAACAAGATCCATGGAAAAAAAAATCTTTTAGGGGCTTACCACCCTAATCTGGTGACAAATATTTTAAAGATGTCTATTCTTTATATAAAAGACTTAACTCTTTAGAAATAGTGAGTGTCTTAAACTAGCAGGCTATGAAAAATCATTTTAAAAAGTCATGTAAATTAATTTAAATTCCTGAGACGACTACAATTAACTTGCTGTGCATCTACAGCTTATTCCCACAAGTTAAAATGAGCCCACATATTCTTTCTATTGATTAATTACAATGACTATAAAGTGACTTGATGTCATCATGAAAAGATTAGCATCTCAAATTACCAGAGGAGTTAATTTTTCACTCACCATAACCTAATTATGGTGACAAGATAAGTTGATTATCATGAAAAACAAAGAGTAGACATAGGTTAGCTTAGGTTTATTTTTAGGGAAAACAAAATCGGATATCTTAAGAACACCACTACTCTTTATTTCCCCAAGGATTGTTACATCAGATAAAAAGCAGGTCATGGCACTGTGTTATTTAGGAACATGTCATCCTCATAGAATGAGGTCTTATGGGCTTTATTTCTGAGACAGCTCTCAAATCTAATTCCATGTTTTATCCTGATTATTCAAACAAAGGCTCTTACTGGAGCAGAAGATGCTAACATTAGCCTTATAAGTTTCTTTGTAGCCTAATCTTCTTTCCCCACAATTAAATAAGCCCTTCTTTGTTGTCAGTTTCAGCACTGTGTTTGTGCATGTCTGTGTGCGTGAGGTAGTGAGCGTGAAACACAAAGACAGCTTTTCAGAGACGGCGCTTGCACATGCTCCTCTGAGGGAGACGGAATCCATCACTACAGTGACAAATAGTGTCATCCCACCATGGTGGTGATGAATAACAACAACATCTTTCACGTTCACTGATACACTGACTGACATAGTCTGACATCAGGGATCTGTGAGGGGTACATGCATGACAAGACTTTACAGACCCATGCATGTGTAGTCCCTGTCACTGGGAGTCATTTTTATCGTTCATCATTATACAACCAAATAACTAATCTAAAGAATAAGGAGGGGTTAACATGAGAAGGCACCTATTAATTTGTAAGACAACACTGGCCTAATTGTACACTGTAAATGTTTATTTGGACAGTATCAATTTAAAATGGCTACATCAATCATAAAGCCTTAAAGGGACACTTCAAATCTTTTGGTTCTGTTCTGTTGGGATGGTACAAATGAGAGACTTGTAAAATTATGATTATATTTTATACTTGCTATATTGTATTTTACCTGCTGGGGCAGCAGGGTGAAGAAAGCTGATGCCAACGGACTCGATAAGATCATCAGGATAGCTGGCTCTGTTCTGGGAGTGGACCTGCAGTCTCTGACAGAGGTGTCTGAGCAGAGGATGCTGAGGAAACTGCTCCAGATCCTGAACAACACGTCACTCCCCCTGCATGACACCCTGGACTCTTACCGCAGCACCTTCAGTCGTAGACTGAGACCACTGAGGTGCTCCACAGAACAACACAGGAAGTCCTTCCTCCCTGTGGCTATCAAACTTTTCAACTCCTCCTTCTTTCTACACATAGGACAATAAAATTAATTGTGCACTACAATAAACACTTTAATGTTTCTGTCTGCACCTGACATGTTTTAGACCTTAATTGTTATTTTTATACATCGCCGTTACTTATATATCTATTATTTTTAAATCTTGTGTGATTCCTTGTGTATGTTCCATGTTTTCAGGTCTCTCTTGTAAATGAGTCCTCGTGGCTCAATGGGACGAACCTGTTTAAATAAAGGTTGAATAAATGTTCCTTTGTTATGAAACCCTGGCACAACAATTTCCTGCGGGATCAATAAAGCTCTTATCTTATCTTTAAGGTAAATGCATCGCTTATCTCAGACGATGAACAAATTTGTCATTTTAATAAATATACTCTACTCACATGTTGTCTCACAAAGTATATATTATTATGAACAAAACCTTATCTTTTTCTTTGGGTGGGAAGTTTTCAAC